GGGGGGGGGGGTGTTGGCTGGAACACGTCATCTACCTCATTGTCAAGCAGAAAACAACAGTAAGATTTAAAGGAATAATTCCCTGCAGCCTCAAGACGTCAATTTCTCGTGTCAGCCCTTGCTGTGGAGCCAAACCTATTCTAATCTTGATATAAAAGATGATAGCTCCCCTAACTCAACATCTCATAGATTCCTTCGAAAACCAAAGTCCCAATTCAAAGGGTGCAGTAATAGAATTCAAAAGACTGGAAATATTCTTGTTGTGATATCTAGACAAATTATAAAGTCTGGAAAATAAGTTTTGCAAAGAGCTTTCTCCGAACCACACATCTTCCCAAAACTTAATTCTATCCCTTCTTCCCACCCCAAACTGACGACACCCTGAAAAAGAACTATAACCTTGAGATATCTTTCCAAGGATTTCTACTTGAAGCTTTCATAACTATCTTGGTATCCCAGCCATTTTAGCTAAGCCCGTGCTTGCTTCTAATCACTGCATGCCAAAGGGATTCTCTTTCAAGTGGAAATCGCCAAAGCCATTTCCCCAGCAATGCCTTATTTTTGACTAGCAGATTGCCAATACCCAGACCTCCCTTCTCTTTTGGCCGAGAAACCACTTCCCATATAATAAGATGATCCTTCTTACCATCACCCACACCTGCTCAAAAGAAATTCCAAATCAGTCTTTCCAGTTTGCTAGCCACTCCTTTTGGAATCTTGAAAAGAGACAAAAAGTATGTTGGAAAACTTCCGAGGACAGACTGAACCAAAGTCAATCTGCACCCTCTTGAAAGGAATGTTGATTTCCATCTTTGCAATATTTTCTCAACTTTTTTGCTGACCGGATTCCAGAAAGTTTCAGCTTTTGGATAGGAAGTCCCAAATATTTAACGGGCCACAAACCAACTCAGCATCCCCACAAATTAGCCAGTCTTTCTAATTTTCCTTCCTCCATATTAATTCCCATTAAAGAGCATTTGATCTCATTCAGTTTCAGACCTGATACTTCGCAAAAACAATCCAACACATATAACAAATTAACCCATCCATATTCGTTGCCAGATAGGAAAAACAGTGTCATCCGCGAGGACCCTGGCACAACTGAATGCAAGCACTGATGCACACGTACTTCTATAATAGAAATTTAACAATAAAGAACACCCAACTCCCACGTCGGGCAAGACAGGGCAGCAGAATTCCCACATCTGTATTGTAGGCCAGCGGCTAAACCCAGTGGCCCCTTTGTTCAGTTTTCCAATAATACCCTTGTTTTTTTAATTACAAGTTAATAGAAAATTAGTAATTCGACAAAAAAGAAAAAAAAGAAAAGTAGTAATTGAAGGTTATAACAAGGGTGAGTTAGTCCAAGAAAAGTGCATTAAATGCTTTCCCGGATGGGTCTCTCCTTATTAAAAAAAAAAAGAGCTTAGCAGATGGGGGAAAAATTTCCAAGGAGAGCCAAGCGTATGAAATTCTCCCCTACATGGTAAGTTCATACCCATGAGTCAGGTATTACATTCCCAAGAGTGTGCTTACCACACACGGGAATACAGTTTCATATCCATTCCCAAGTTTCTAAACCTTGAACCAAACGAGCCCTAATAGAGAAAGATCAATACTAATGGCCTGTTTGGTAACTTTCATTTATAGTTTTCAGTACTTTTATTTTTATTTTTATAATAATGAAAGAGATCATGGAAAACATATGAGAGAAATAATAAAAACTAATATGGAAAATGATTGAAAAGGGCGAGCTGAATTTTCCCTGCAAAACTAAACTACAGTGGCTACTCTGCCACTGCAAAAGGTATATATATATATATATATAATAAAAAGGCAACAAACACCATTTTTATGGCATTTTGCAATCAAATACACAAAAAGCAACGAAGGGGAAATTACTTAAAAAATATTCAAAAAGGCTGCATCCAAGTTAAGCAGCAGAATATTTACCTTTGAGTCAAACTCCTGAACCTCCTCAATCAACTTAAAACATGACTCCCAACAGATAGGGAGAAGGTCGATGAATTCTCTTTCGGAAAAGCTAGCATCTTCAATATGCAAACACAGAGACCTACAGGCTGCTAACTAAAATAAGAAAAGCACACACTTAAGTAATTAAACTAGGGACAGCAACCAAATTTAGCAGCTTTTAATAACCTCAGAGCAATGAATGAAAAACAATGAAGAGACAACATTTACATTAGAAAAATGTGCATACCCTAACAGATAGGTCCCTGTCCTGTAGCAATCTGATCAAAGCACAATAAACTGGCCTTTTTGTGTCCTCTTTAATCTACCAATAAAATGAAAATAAAATAAAATAAAAATGACTCATTTTCCATATTTTAGTAGACATATGACAAATAAAATGGCTAACAGCTATAAAAAATGGCAAATAAATAAATCAAGGATCAGATTGCCATAATAAATATCACAAGAGCAGATCCATTGATTCTTGCAAAGCTCCATATCCATCAAAAGAGCACTCAAGGAAGGTACAATCAGAGGACTCCACCCCCTCTATACCTCCACAACTTATGCAACAGTTTACTAAGTGCAGAAATAAATATCAAGGGAAACAAAAGAAAACAAGTCCTAATAACAAATTAAAACTGGCAAAACTTCATTATTATCTCCATAAATGTTTTTTATCCTAGAAAATTACTTAGGAAAAAGTATACATCCATATGGAAGGAAATGACAAGTTCATCACCAATATTATTTCCTTATTCATAAGAGCAAACTGGACTTGATGGCACAAACTTTGCCTGCAACATACATCAAATCTTCATTACATCTGTACACTTCTTCCCTTTGAGATAGAGTGCAATTAACAGCACATTGCATCTCTCTCCAACATTGAAAGATTTAGTCTTATATATAATGTTTCTAACTAGATACTTCCCCTAATCTATCCATTCCCTGAACGTGAAAGATTAAAGAATGGAAAATCAATACCATTGTGTCGGCACAAGAAAGTATGGTTAATTATGATTCAAGGATATATGTTTAATATTATATACAACATCCAGTGAGTATATTATGGTACCTCAGAAACCCATTGTCCCAATATTAGTGCAACTTTCCGATGGATGATACGCATATTTGGATGATCATTTGAGAGTTCAAGGGATAATGCACCATTAAACCTGCAACGGTAAAAGCAACCATGGAGTTATGTCCCAACAACTTGTGACTGCTATCAGGTCAAAAGTTCGCTAACAGATATGTGACTGCTATTAGGTCAACTCATAGTCATAGTGCAATTATGGACCATAACAAACCAAAAGCAACCATGGAGTTATGTCCCAACAACTTCTACCTCTACAAGCATGTCAAGAATTTTGGTTTTTCTTTTCCTTTATTTTTCAAGCCTATATTGCATCCTTTCTTTTTCATACAGGAAACCCTATTTTGCAGCCTTATATTATCCTATAGCAAGTATGACACTCAAACATGTTACGAGTGAAATATTCAAGAGTCTAACAAAAGAGCACAAATATACAGAATGTAATCTCCATAAATCAAGGAAAAATAAGTAACTTGCCCTACCCTAAATCAATTTTCTCAAAATTTGTGGAAATAGAACAAAACAAATTGCACATGTGCATGCTTGAAGCCACAAACCCACCCTCCATACAAACAATACAGTATGCGAGTTCTAAGAAATAAATCAGTTTAACAAATCACCACAATAATATATATGCCGCAACAATTCAATGGTTCCTAAATTTGGATAACCTATACAAGACATATGAATAAATGAATGGATATCCGTGTAATGAATAGACATACCAATCTTTAAAGCTCAGATAATTTGAGAGCTCGTAGTAAACATATGCAGCAGCACCATAAGCAGCATCTTTAAGAAGCAACCCTGGGGTTATTTCAGTCACTGAAGTTGGGCAACCATTCATTGCCTCTTTAAGGATGGAAACCACAACAGGACCTAGGAGCTAAAATTGATAAATCAAGATCACATAAGCACAAATTTCTGAAACTTAAAATATAAAATATAAAAAAATTTAGAACTAATAATGTTCTGATAAAACCATGCAAAAACGCAGAAATGCACCAACCTGGCTGTGGTTTTCAAACAGAACAATGTATAAAGCTTCAGCACATGGCCTTAATTTTTCTGTCCACTGAACCATATCCTGCTCATGATGGAAAGATTCAGGACTCTGGTACCACTCCTCCAAATCATTTGTTGATAGAACAAAATACCTGCAACATATTACCAAAATAAGTATCCAAAGAGCATATCTAATAATTTCATTGTACCTTAAATAGAACCATAAGCTCTAAAACCCAAATCCTTGCATCTCATTGCCATTCTGGCTCTACCATGACTGTAATCAATTGAATCACTCTATTCTAAATATAATGAAAGCTTTGAAGTCACTCAAACAACGGAAGAAAAAAAAAACTTGTACACTATAAAAAGAAGGCGCACAATCACATCCAGGAGTCTTCCAAGATTCCCTCACACACCACATAGTGCCCACTTAAATACGTGGAACTCCCCATGGAAATGTTAGAGCACCATGACATTGAAGTTGTCATAGACAAACTAATGAATCATTTAAATAGTAAGATATAGGTAAGGATTTTTAACTGCAAAGGTCCCTGAACTTATACCCAAGTTTCATTTGGTCCTCTAACTTTTTTTAGTCAATTTGGTCATCCAGCTCTCTCCGTCATGTTAATTGAGTCCTTCCGCCACATTCCATCAATTTGGCTGTCTAATTGAGGGGTGAAACTGTCAATTTGAGCACAAGTATCTTCTAAAACGACCTACCCAGCTCTCTACTGCCCATTTCCCTCCACAATCCCTTAGACTTTCCACCAAATTGAAACCATAAACCTTAAAATCAAGTCTGGAGCTTGATCAAAGTACTGTAAGTTAAAGCTAATAAGTGCTTTAGCTTCAATCTTCAAAGCACGAGAGATAAATGAATGACATAGAACTCTCTCTCTCTCTCTCTCTCTCTCTCTCTCTCTTGTTGGGTTCTTTAAAATGGGTTTTGTCTATTAAGCAGATTCATATTCAATGGAAACCAAATAAAAAGAAAAAGAAGCTCTGCCTTGCTGAATTGGGATAGATAGGTGAACTAGGTTTCAATTTGGGGGTAATTCCAAGAAATTATGGAGGGAAATGAGTAGTAGAGAGCTGGGTAGGTCGTTTTAGAAGATATTTGTGCCTAAATTGACGGCTCAAACAGACAGCCAAATTGGATGACTGTAATGAAAGGACCCAATTGGCACGACTGAGAGAGTTGGATTACCAAATTGACTATAAAAAAAAGGTTGGAAGACCAAAATGAAACTAGGGTATAAGTAAAAACACTATATGTGAGTAAAAAGATAAATTACCCCCCCTTCTCTCTCTCCTTCTTCCTCTCCCTTTAATGAAACAGAGGTTAGAATATCATTACCTTCTTATTAATATGTTACACAAGACCACTATACGTTCACTTGTCATAAGAGAAGTCAAGACACCACTGACTGCACCAGATATGTTTTTCTTCATTTGCTCCAGTGTAACCACGTTTTCATCCATCACCCGACCAGTGAGACTTGGCTTGTACTCTTTACATTCCAACACACACTTAACCATTACCATACATTGAATAAGAAACTGCTCAAACGATAACACATCTGGTTCAGGCTCTGTTATCTTCTTTAAACAGAAATCGACTACAGTTGGAAGGACACATTTATCACTAAATGAGTAAGGATGCCTTCCTTGAATCGCAATTAAAACCTTCATCAGCTTGGTACATGCCCTCTTTAGGAAGTCCCAAAATTTAGGATGTCCTTTCTGAAAGGAAGAATCTGGAAAAAGGCAACATTACATTTCCGGAAAATGTTGTTAAACAAAAGCATATTTGCAACCATAACATACATATATGTATCCAAAGTAGTTATTCAAGGTGGCTTCAGCTTCCTTTCTACCCAAAAGATGCTGCCATTAATTAGAAGGGAAAAACTGACACCTGAACAAGTCTCTCTGACTAAATAATGCAAATTAATGGATCTTAAACACCAGTTCACAAACTGAGACCCTTAACGAACTTGGGAAAACAGAGACATTTGGAAAACAAATGAAAGGTTTAAAGATTTTTTATGGAGAGAGAGAGAGAGAGAGAGAGAGAGAGAGAGAGAGAGAGAGAGAGAGAGAGAGAGAGAGAGAGAGAGAGAGAGAGAGAGAGAGAGAGAGAGAGAGAGAGAGAGAGAGAGAGAGAGAGAGAGAGAGAGAGAGAGAGAGAGAGAGAGAGAGAGAGAGAGAGAGAGAGAGAGAGAGAGAGAGAGAGAGAGAGAGAGAGAGAGAGAGAGAGAGAGAGAGAGAGAGAGAGAGAGAGAGAGAGAGAGAGAGAGAGAGAGAGAGAGAGAGAGAGAGAGAGAGAGAGAGAGAGAGAGAGAGAGAGAGAGAGAGAGAGAGAGAGAGAGAGAGAGAGAGAGAGAGAGAGAGAGAGAGAGAGAGAGAGAGAGAGAGAGAGAGAGAGAGAGAGAGAGAGAGAGAGAGAGAGAGAGAGAGAGAGAGAGAGAGAGAGAGAGAGAGAGAGAGAGAGAGAGAGAGAGAGAGAGAGAGAGAGAGAGAGAGAGAGAGAGAGAGAGAGAGAGAGAGAGAGAGAGAGAGAGTTCATGTTATGATGGTTTAGGATGAGGACATCTTTGTCAAACCCATTAGCGCTTACCAACGAAAGAGATGGTAGAGGAAACCATTTAATTCAGTCTTCAAATCCTGCAATTCTGGAGCAGCTTTCTTTTGTTGTTAGTTTCCTAGGTTCTCTAAGTTTTCCAAATTTCAGTAGGATTTCTAAGTTTCCTATTTTAGTTGGATTAGGATTTCTTTCCTAGAATAAGTTTAATTTCCTTTTCATTCTAGGGTTAGATTATTATAAATACCCCCCTATGTAATTCATTATGGAGATTTGAGATTTGAGTTATTGAGTAAAGTTTATTTTCCAGAGATTGGAATTCTTGGTGTGAAGCCAAGTACGGGTCTGAAGCCCCTGGAGTGATTCCAGACCTATCCTTATTCATTTAGGGCACGTTTGGTTAAGTTTTAAAGGGTTGTTTTCATTTTAATAGAACAAAAACACAGCAAGAACCTGTTCAGCAGGCCAAAAGCAGAAAACACTGAGAAAGTTTTCATAAAATGAAAACAAGTTCATGTGTACTTGTAGAAAACAGAAAAAAGATGTTTTCATTCTCACGGGAAATGCTCAAAACAGGGGAGGTTGAAAAAGAACAGTTGCTGCTGCTCACTGTCGTCAATCTCTCGCTCAATCTTCTCTCCCCATCAGAACAAAAAACAAAAATCTTCGCTCCCCCTCGCTCACCCTTCTCTTCTCTCCTCCTTTCTCAACCCAACAGCCACCACCCAATAGCCACTACAGGCCAATCGAACCACAATCACCACAACAGACCAGCCACCTGCTAATCGCACCACCACCAAGTCAAACCCAATCGACCCTACCATCAATACCACCACCCACTAAGCAAATTGTCATGGGGGGAGAGGGGGGGGGGGGGGAGAGAGCGAGAGAGAGAGAATATCAGGCCTTGGATGGGAAGGAAGAAGAAAAGAGAAGGAGAGAAGAGGAAGAAAGAAAGGAGGAGAAAAAGAAAGAGAAAGGGACGGTGTCGGCTGAAAAAATAGAAAAAATAAAAGAGATAAAGATAGTTTTAACTTTTAAAAAACAATTTAATTTTTTATTTGTTAAATTATACATTTAAAAAAATATCTTTTTAGAACATAAATTTGCAAAAATACACTTGAAAAATAACTCACATATTATTATTCTCAAATTGTACTACCAGACACGTTTTCATTGTTTTTGTTTTCTGAATCTGTTTTCTAATTAATCTACCAGACACATTTTCAAATCCTGAAATTTGCTTGAAAATGCAAATTCGTTTTCTTGTTTTCATTCTTTGAAAATATTCTAAGAAAACATTCTCCGAAAACGTTACCGAACGGGCCCTTAATTTTCTGTTTTCATTGTTTTCACTTCCGGTAAACTACCTAAATCTATAATTCACCCATATCCTACATCACATTATCCAGAAAAACCGTTTACAAAGCTTCTTCTCGACATAATTTATATAGAAACAATTTTGCTGAAAAATTAGACAGGAGAGCAGATCTCACAGTATGGAAGAAATGACTGAATGGCATTCAAGAGCACGGGCGAGACCTCCTTCACTGGCCGGACCTCCTACAAAACACACACAGATGAGTTACGAACGATAATTGTGTACCACCATATTGATGAAAAGTGTCGGTGCAGCTGAGATAATGGTAAGACACCACCACAAATATTTTTTATCTTTTGTGTTTTGGTTGGGGGTGTTAACTACCTGTACACATTTTGCATCACTTGGAAACCCTGAAACTACTAACTGGCGTATTATCTTTAAGCACAACAGCCATCGCTCACAAGTTAGATAAAGCTCATCCTGATGTTGCTCAAATGTATTTGAGTTGTAGCTTTCAGAAAGAGTAGAAAAACCGTGCAATATTGTTTGCACATCGCTCTGCCAAAGGTGCCAGCTATAATCAAAGAAATGAGATGATATCTGCACAAAAAAAAAATCCATAAGTACAAAGGTTTCGTATAAGATGTTCATAAGGTATACAAGTAAAACACCACCTTCAGAATAAGTAATATATCTGTGTGTGCAGACTTTAAGGACCTTTCTTTGGTCAATATCTGTAAAGCTTCAAAATTCACTACAAAGAAACAAATGAAATTAACAGGCAGTTGCCGTCCTAAATAAATTGACTTCGAGTCCATCCTCATAAGGAAGCTCAACTTCAGTAGTCATCCCCATCACCAGGGGCTTGGAAATCAAGAGTCTTGATTCAAAACCAGATTTGGCAGAAACAGTGTAGAGCATGAGGTTCAAGATCCTCCCTGCCCACACATCCCCTTTAAAACAAAGGATTGTGGTGGCCCCTAATTTTTCAACAGCAGAAACATCTCTCTACTCTACAACAGGTGTGCAGCTCTGGTTGGCTGCTTAAGTATGTGGCTATCAGAAAGCTAGGCTTCATAAGTTGCCCAACAACAGAAAATAAATAATAAGGTTCATGACCACTAATTAAATTGCATGACCCCATATACACACACACACACATATTTAACATATCTGTATTTTATTAATTATAATGATACATATCTGAAAGGCTTACGCCTCGACTCGATGACATGCCTTGGACAACACTGCTTCACACTACACCTAATAAAGCTCAGAAATCGAGCCAATCACGATCTTCTTCAACAAAAGACCTTTGAACTCATTAGTAAGAGAGAGAAAAAAAATGTTTTTAGTCATTCTGAAATTTCTTAGAAATTTTTATTGGTAGCTTGTCACACTTCACGAGAGCATACATCCAGACTATAAAAAAAGTCCATGCCACAGGGGCTGTCCACATTTACGAGCCATGTGCTCCTTTACAATTAAGGCAACAGATTAACACTACACATCGCCTGCTCAGAGACTAAAACAAATTAACCAGATTAACAGAGAATTAAAATCTCAATTAGAAAAGACTGCTCCTTAAAAGATATGATTGGCAGCTCAAGGAATATTTTACTGTTGCTCAAGAATGAAAACCACAAAATGATATCCATGTTTAACTATTACAGGAATGAAAACTGAAAAATGGGATATCTAGCTTAATCCCAAATATAAATAACCTTTTAATGCCATACGGAAGACACATTTAGAAACCCAAGCCTCCTTAACCACCCGAATAAGGTTTTAACACCAACACCTGACCACACCTCAACACATTGTTGATTTCATAATACAATAATTCGAGAAAATGGAAGACATCCTGTGTTGTAGAAAAATGGAGGAAATAGTACTGTAGCCTATACCTCTGCGAAGTTCTTTTGGTCTGAGATCAGTCGCTTAGTGGACAATTCCTTCAAAGTTCGAAAGAGAGTCAAAAAAATCCTGTGGGAAGAAAGAACATCTGTTGATTGAAGCTTCTGTGCTAAAACAGAAAAGAGCTCTGGCCTGAACATGTCATTAGGTTGATAGATCAGTACAAGTTTTACACTTGTTATAGGAACATTCAAAATATGTCAGGGGACTGAGGTTTGAAACCCAATATTCAACAATAAACATATCATTTGCACATGCGCAAACTCAGCAAAGAAGAAAAAAAAAGGCATATGGAGTTTGCAAGTCTTGATAAGAACAAATCAAACTAAACAAGCCATGCTCACTTCTAAAGTATTTCATAATCCAGCCATCTGCTTATCCTACAATTACTAAGCCATTGTCTGCAACGTGAACACAAGCTTCTTAAACTATATGAAAAATTCATATATTTCCTCATTCAGTTCTCTCTAGGGTAATTTTTCTTTCAAACTGTAGGCAAAATATGGGATTCACGTCCAGTCTGACTTTCTGCAGCATCATACACCTTAGAATGTAGATCTTTATATCGTTCTCTTTTATAAAAAAAACAGAAAATTCATGCAAGGCTAATTCATGTAATTTGTGTCCCTAATCTTCTTTCTTTCCCCTAGTTCCCGTTTCTTCTAAGCAGTTGATGAAAGAAATATAACCCTATAACATCCCATTATGAAGTTCTCATAGCACCACAAAGCTCAACCAGATTATAAGTTTAGAACTTTCCTGCAAGGTCTATTTTAAAAAAACATAGAAGTTGAGGTTACAGTAAAATCATACCATTCTTTGGGGTAATCTATACGAGCAATTTTGGAAATGAGCACAGCCAACATTTGCGCTATCTGTGTTGGACAAAATGAAGAGAACGGGAAATTGGTAACAGCCAAAGTTGAGTAAACGTCTAAGTTATAATATGCTGAAACATAGAGAGGAGGGGCAGGTGGGGGAAGTGGGAGAGAGACAGAGAGCTCATATCTTATTAACATCAAACGTATTAAAAGTAAATGCAAACAGAATTTCCTGAACATCTAAATCCCTAAAAACTAAATTGCCCCATCTCCTATTGAAGAGGTGAAATTTTAAACCCTTGGGGTTAGCCCAAGTGGTGAGTTAGAGTGGGGAAATGGGTTAGAGGTAGGAGAGGTCAAATGGTTCAATCCCTTCCAGTGTAAAATTGAAAAAATAAAAAGAGGTGAAAATTTAACTTAATTGATGGGCAATTAACGAATAAAAATGAACTCAAAAAAAGTTAAAATGGTAGCATACTGTTTTCTAATGCCAGTAATGTTGGGTGTGGCACTAATCTTCATGAAGGATCTTTATGAAGATAATAAACTCATACCTTGAATCCATTTAGGATATCTTCAATTTTTTTTTTTTCAATAGGAAATAAAAAACTTTAATAAGAAGAAGAAGAGATATAAGAGAAGAAGGACAAAAGTGAAGCTGGTGTATACCAACCCTACAATTACAAACACAAAAAGAAAAGGCGGGTTTTACCTGATAGTTCTCTTCTCTAAAGTGTGATAAAAGTTTTTGTCTAAGATGTATTTTCTCCTCGTTGCTGATTCCCCTGAAAACACACACAGAAAACAATAGAGCGAACACAGATAGCAATAAATATGAGTGAACTGAAGTAGGCAATCGTGTTTGCTAATGAAATAGATGATTAATACACTTACGAGGAATCACGCCTGTGCCTCCAATAGCGATTAACACTATTCTTGAAATACACTGAAGCCATCAAGCGAACATCTACACGCGGTACCAAATCCTTGGCAGTTATGACTTCCTGCATAATTTTCTATTTTCAGAAATGTCCACGAACAAGATCGCATTCCGCATTTGACCTAAAACCCTAAAGTAATACGACGGAGAAAGAAAACAGCTGCTTACCATGAGACAAGAGCAGAAACCAGGCCTGGCCTCCGACTGAGAGAGCGCCGCCTCTGCCGGTTTGCGCACACTATCGTCACCACTCAATGAGTTGGTCAGCAGAGAGTACATGGCTGGTAGGTCAGACGCGGAGAGCGCCATTGCTTTACACCTCTCCCTCTCTCTGACTCTCCCGGCTAAGCAATTTTTTGCTACACCCACTTAAGCAATCGATGAGGAATTTTGTTTATTTTTTTGGGGCATTTTTTTGGTGGTTAACTTTTGAGATTTTCTATTCACCACATGTTCTAAGTTCACCCCATTTTTTAATTTAAATTTTCATAATTTCTAAGAAAACCCCACTGTCTTCCCAAACTACCCTTAAATACACCCCAAACTGAAAAAAATGAGAAATAAAAGAGATTTTCTATTTAAACCCCACAATTTTCTTTGTTCCCAGCAGAAAAAAAACACAAACATATGGAACCCTAAACCCTTAGGTATTGTTGAGAGAGAGAGAGAGAGAGAGAGAGAGAGAGAGTTTGTAAGAAAAAAATACAAACAAATGGAACCCCAAACCCGAAATTTAATACTTTCTAAAGAAAAAGAACAACTTTACCTCTCTCCAAGAACTGTAACTAGAATTCCAACACTTAGGTATTTTTGAGGGAGAGAGAGAGAGAGAGAGTGAGTGAGTTTGTAAACAGGAAGTTGGGGTGTGTGTATAGATATAGTAGAGTTAATTATTAAGTTGGATTACCTTTTTTGCCTTTTTACACAATAATAAAACTTACAGCTTAATGATTTAAGTATTGGGGGTGAACAAAGAGAAGTGCTGGGTTTAAATAGAAAATCTCTAACTTTTTTTTCTCTCCGTTTTTTCACCCAAACTCCTAAAACCCTTTTGTAGAAAGTAAATTTGATTTTCATACGATTGTAGATAACCTTTCTACATGACTTATTTATTCATGTTCTTTTATTTCATCGGGATACTAGCCTCACCTAGGCGTCTGAAAAAATACAACTGCAAAAAGTTTTGTACGCACTATCCCATTTGGTTCACGGAACGAATTTGATGGGAAATGGAACATTCTTTTCCCACATTTGATAATGCTGGGAAAGTAACCGGGAGATATCGCTTTATTTTCTTTTCCATGTTTGTTTTGAGTAGGAATGGAAAACAAAGTTTGTATAAATTTTCAATTATACCCATATTAAATAATAATAATAAAAAGAATGCATTTATGATATATTGTAATTCTAAATTGTTAATGGTGACAAAATTGTCATGAAAAATATTTATTTAATATTGGCTCATTTTCCCAAACTTTTCCATGAGGGAAAACAAAACCCAAGTTGGGAGAACGGCTTCACTTTCCCCCCTGCTTTCCCATGGGCTGGACAACGATTTCCCATACCTAAATTTATCAAACAAGGGAAATCAATTGATTTATCATCTCCAAGTCTTCTTTCCTATGAACCAAACGGGGCTAAGCACCTCGAACATAAAAATATTTGGAGAATAGAGTGTGACTATATGCAAAATGAATAAAACCTATTTTCACGCAAACATGGGTGGGAGTGTGGTAGATGGAATGATATGAGAGCCCACCTTAGGTTTCAAGAGAGAAACATGGAAAGTGGGATGAATACGAGAATGAGGAGGAAGTGCCAGAGTATATGCCACCTTACCCACTTGAGCCATAATATGATAAGGCCCGTAATAACGAGGGGCCAGTTTGGGGCAATGGTTCTTGCTTACAGAAGTCTGGTGATATGGTTGGAGGCGAAGGAATATCCAATCACTAACCTGGAACTCACGCTTAGAACGTTTGGAAGCTGTATTATGGCGCATTCGTTCTTGAGCCAACTGAAGGTTCTCTTTCAAGCGACGAAGCAATGCGTCACGGTTACACAAAGTAGTGTCAACCAAGTGAACAGGGGAAGAACCAGGTAAGTAAGTTGAAATAGTGGAAAGGGAATATCCATAAACGGGCTTAAAAGGGGTCATCTGAATGGCGGACTGGAAAGTGGAGTTATACCACCACTCAGCCCAAGGAAGCCAAGTGACCCTAAACCCTAAACCCCAAGCTTTGGGTTTAGCATTGACATAACTTTGCAAATAATGTTCCAAGGTGCGATTAAGGACCTCTGACTGCCCGTCCGTTTGAGGGTGGTAGGCGGAACTCCGACAAAGTTTGGTGCCTTACATCTTAAACATAGATTCCCAAAATTGACTCACAAAGATAGGATCGTAGCCACTGACGATCATGGAAGGCATTCCATGAAGGCAAAAGATCTTGCGAACAAACACATCCGCAACGGTGGTAGTTGAGTAAGGGTGTTTAATGGGAATGAAGTGACTGTACTTAGAAAGGCGATCCACCACAACCAGTATGGCAACCCTACCTCAACGGTATAGACAGGTATAACTGAACCGGTTCAGTTAGTTTCATTTATGTTTTAGCAGATCTTTTATGTCCCATTGAATCCTCAAACTTTAATTTGAATTCTCATATTTTTTTCCCTTCAAATTGACCACTCCAAACCTTTGCATCAGCCAACCCTACCTCAACGGTATAGACAGCTATTGTTGAAAAAGTTTAGTTTGTTTTTTCATTTACGATTTTGCATATTTTTGTGTCCATAAACCCTAGCCCTTGAATCAGCCACCCTAGCTCACGTACAGATTAGTATTGTTTTTTCTGAAATAGTTCAGTTCGTTTCATTTATCTTTTAGAAGATCTTTTCTGTCCCCCTGAATCCTCAATCTCTAATTTGAATTCTCATATTTTTTTCCCATCAAATTGACCACTTCTAGCCTTTGCCTCAACAACCTTAGCTCACGATACATACTGGTATTGCTGAACTAGTTCAGATCGTTTCATTCATGGTTTAGAAGATCTTTTCTATCTCCTTGAATCCTCAGTCTCTAATTTGAATTCTCATATTTTTTCCCATCAAATTGACCACTTTTAGCCTTTGCCTTAGCCAACCCTAGATCTCGGTACAGATTGGTATTGCTGAACCGGTTCAATTCGTTTCATTTATGTTTTAGCATATCTTTCCTGTCCTCTTGAATCCTCATTCTCTAATTTGAATTCTCATATTTTTTCCCATCATATTGACCACTCCTAGCCCGTGAATCAGCCAATCCAAGCTCACGATACAGAATGGTATTGCTGAACTAGTTCAGTTCGTTGCATTTATCTTCTAGCAAATCTTTTCGAACCCCTAGAATCCTCCATCTCTAATTTGAATTCTCATATTTTTTCCCATCAAATTGACCATGCCTAGCCTTTGAATCAGCCAACCCTAGCCCACGATACAGACTAGTATTGCTGAACCAGTTCAGTTTGTTTCACTTATGTTTTAGCACATCTTTTCTATCCCCTTGAATCCTCAATCTCTAATTTGAATTCTCATATTTTTTCCCATCAAATTGACCACGTATGGCATTTGCCTCAACCAACCCTAGCTCACAGTACAGATTGGTATTGCTGAATCGGTTCAATTCGTTTCATTTATGTGTTAGCAGATATTTTCTGTCCCCTTGAATCTTCAATCTCTAATTTGAATTCTCATATTTTTTTCCCTTCAAATTGACAACTCCCAGCCTTTGAATCAACCAACCCTAACTCACGATACAGACAGGTATTGCTGTACTAGTTCAGTTCGTTTCATTTATGTTTTAGCATATCTTTTCTGTCCCCTTGAATCCCCAATCTCTAATTTGAATTCTCATATTTTTTCTCATCAAATTGACTACTCCTAGCCTTTGAATCAGCCTGCCCTAGCTTACGATACAGAGTGGTATTGCTGAAGCAGTTCAATTCGTTTAATTTATGTTTTAGCAGATCCGTTCTGTCCCTTTGAATCACCAAGCTCTAATTTGAATTCTCTTATTTTTTCCCATCAAGTTGACCAGTAAAAGACTTTGCCTCAGCCAACCCTAGGTCACGATACAAACAGGTCTTGCCGAACCGGTTCAGTTCGTTCCATTTACATTTTAGCATATCTTTTGTCCCCTTGAATCCTCAACCTCTAATTTGTATTCTCATATTTTTTCCCATCAAATTGACCACTCCAAGCCTATGAATCAGCCAACCCTAGCTTACGCTACAGAGTGGTATTGCTGAACTAGTTCAGTTCATTTTATTTATGTTTTAGCAGATCTTTTCTATCCCATTGAATCCTCAATCTCTAATTTGAATTCTCATATTTTTTCCAATTAAATTGACCACTCCTATCCTTTGAATCAGCCAACCCTAGCTTACGATACAGAGTGGTATTACTGAACCAGTTTAGTTCGTTTGTTTTGAGTTTTAGCAAATCTTTTTTGTCCCCTTAAATCCACAATCTCAAATTTGAATTCTCATATTTTTTCCCATCAAATGGACCACTCCAAGCCTTTGAATCAACCAACCCTAGCTTACAATACAGAGTGGTATTGTTGAACTAGTTCAGTTCGTTTCATTTATGTTTTAGCAGACCTTTTCTGTCCCCTTGAATCCTCAATCTCAAATTTGAATTGTTACATTTTTTTTCCCATCAAATTGACCACTCCAAGCCTTTGCCTCAGCCAACCCTAGCCCTCGATACAGACTGGTATTGCTAAATTGGTTTAGTTCGTTTCATTTATGTTTTAGCAGATCTTTTCTATCTCCTTGAATCCTTAGTCTCTAATTCGAATTTTCATATTTTTTTCCCATCAAATTGACCACTCCTAGCCTCTGAATCAGCCAACCCTACCTCACGATACAGACTATTGTTGCTGAACCATTACAGTTCGTTTCATTTATGTTTTAGCAGATCTTCTCTCTCCCTTTAAATCTTCAATCTCTAATTTGAATTCTCAAATTTTTTCCCATCAAATTAACCACTTATAGCCACTGAATCAGCCAACCTTAGCTCACGATACCGATTGGTGTTGCTGAACCGGTTCAGTTCATTTTATTTATGTTTTAGCATATCTTTTCTTTCTCTTTGAATCCTCAATCTCTAATCTGAATTCTCATATTTTTTCTTATCAATTGACCACTCTTAGCTCACTGTACGGAGTGGTATAGCTGAACCGGTTCAATTTTATTTTTGCAGATCTTTCTATCCTTGTGAGTCGTCAATGTCTAATTTGAATTCCCATATTTTTTCCAATGAAATTGACCACTCCTAGCATTTGTATAAGACAACCCTAGCTCACTGTATGGACTGGGTTAACTGAACCGGTTCAGTTAGGTTTTTGCAGATCTTTTCTACCCTTTTGAATCCTCAATCTCT